ATACTAAGTATATTTGATGATATTATTGTGAATAAACTGAATAAAGTAATTTATAAAATATAACCTATTTACGTGGAACCTAACATTTTATAAACTTTTAAGTACAAAATAATTATTAAATTTGATACATTTTGACAAAATTCGAACTTTAAATGCTTATATAAAAAAATTGTACCTATGTATGTTTATTTTTTTTCAATTGAATTGTAACAATATATCAGGAGCCTACCATTAAATTTTCACCCTTTTTTATCTAACAAATAATATTTTATTGACAACGCCCTTAAACAGCTCAAAATAAGTCAAAATATTTCGAAAATGTTTTGACTTATGGTGTACAGAAAATGCTGATATAAACATTCAGTCAAAATGTCATGTATTTACAGATATTTGTTTAAGAGTTACACCAAAAACTAATATCGATTTTTGTGGAAAATCAATTTTGAGTAAAAATTCTCGTTTTTCTTTAATATTTCTTTTGTTTTTCATGGCGCTTTTGAAAACTACTGGAACTTTTTTACTTTTGACGCCCCAAAGTAGGTACCAACTAGATTCACTTTCCTATCAGAAAAGATACTGTTGAAGAAAATCTAAGCATTTTTACTATTCTAAAAAGCAAAAGGTGATGACACCCACAAAAAAAAAACTACACATCATTGTAAAATCAATAATATATTCATCGCTTCCGCTCAGAATCTAAAAATTACCTCCATAGAAAACTCGCTCTGCACGAAATTCCGATTTCGACCTTACCTCCAAGGTTGACGGCTGACGCCCAGTCCGACGTCCGAATTAGACTCTTGTCTGTTAGTGGCAAAAGAATTTTCGGTGTTTTTCGAATTTAAGAAAAACTAGTAAGAACTTCAGACATAAAAATCACCTTTCCTTTTAATAATAAATAGGTATCAGCGTTACGCGAAAAGGATAACGCTAGGAAATTTTCACTACCAAAGCGGAAACATTTGAAGTTTGAACGCCGTATAAGATGTTTTCACATCAAAAACCTGCTCTAAAAGTTGTGATTATCTGCTAAATGATTGAACTTGGCGACTTAAGTTATAAATTAAAAATTACTATAGTAGGTATTATGAGTAGGTACATAATAATATAGTCTACTATCATTGAAGTGTATTAATAATCAAGTTGTTTTATGGTATAGTAATGTAGTATAGAAGTATGTGGTATTGTGGTGAATCCCGGAATATAAATCCCCCGGAAAAAAATCCCCCGACGAACAACGCCGGAAAAAATCCCGACCCTAGGAAAAAAAATCCCCAGACTACAATATTACTCACAACCTCTTGCAAATGGTTGAACAAATATTTTTTAAACGTTAATTAGTATCTATAATTAATATTTAATTACAAATACGTATATAGTATATTATATTATATTGTTAAAAAATTATATATTATAAATAATATTTTGTTTTAAATTACGATAATATTATATCATGTGTAATTCAAATTAAATAACTAACTTTACCTTATATTATATATTATCAAAGGTAGGTACATACTAAACCGCTTATCGTCAAAATGTCACAGAAAACGAAATATTTTATTTCGGGAATTCAATTTTTACAGAATTATACCTACATAAAATATATAGGTACCTATATATTTTGTATAATATTTTTGTATACTATGTTTTTAACTGTATTATTAATTGACGTATCGATCGTTATAAATATTTTTATAATTTTTTTAACAATATAATATAATATACGTATTTGTCATTAAATATTAATTATAGATACTAATTAACGTTCAAAATATATTTTTCAACCATTTGCATGTGATTGTCAGTAATATTGTAGCTGGGGATTTTTTTTCTAGGGTCGGGGATTTTTTTTCCGGGGGATTTTTTTTCCGATTACCATTGTGGTTATTATATAATTTAATCCAGTTCATTTTAAGAATATTGTCCATGACAACTTACATACTTTGTCATGATGAAAACTAGAATAAGGAAACTAAACTACCAAAGACCAAATGTTTACAGGCTGCTACTTTAACCCACATAGTATAGGGATTATTCATGTTTTATTAAATTTTATGGTAAATATATGCATTATTTTGAACCATGACCACGAATTAAGATCTTAATTCGTGACCATGACCCATAATACATTGTAGGTATGGCTTGTAGATTTACGAATTCAAACACGATATCGTACACATTATGTGTATATTTCATAATTAACAATTAATCATAGATTCTAATTATCTATGCAATTAATATGCAAATATGCAATTTTACTTACTTTTCTATTTCTTTTCCACGGATTAAGATAAATAGGTAGTACGCTATTGAAAGTGATAAGCTGTAACGGAGACGCTGTGTACACACTTCTACATGATAAATCTATTTTGTCATGAACTTCTATATTATAATCACAGAACCATATAATAATTTTATATGTAACCACGGACTAAGATTAATGTTAATGTTAATTAAAATTAATATTAATTAGTTAATCTTAGTCCGTGGTCCGTGTATATAACTAATATATTATAATCTGTATTATATACTATAGAAATCTGGGGCTGTGGACATAGGCACCAGGTTTTAAAAAACTTAATGGGTGCCTTGGTATCATACTATCATAGGCATAAATGCATAATTTTGGGGAGGGGGCTTAATTTTAATTTTGGCTCTCCAAATAGCACCTATTTTTGTCATGATTACTTAACCAAAAACGTTAACATTTTCTTTTGGATTTTATTGGTGTATACAAATATTAAATAATATATACCATGTTGTACACTGAAATATGCGATCATCATTAATCATAAAATATATTAATTATACAACAAAATAAATGTATACCAAATTGATAACTTATTTATAAATAATAATAATAAGTAAAACAAAAAATAAAATTAATTTAATTTGACTGTTCAGAAAATAAATGTGTTTTGACGTATTATAGTTGAATTTATAAATGAGTTAGCTCTTAGCTATCAATATCTCTATCTTCATTACGACGGACATACAATAAAGCAATATCGTTAAGAGGACGCCACACCCGCATGTGTTGTCTCCGTCTTACAAACGCGTAACATAGCAAATTACGTCCACGGAAAACAAACGAATCGGCATCAAAAAGTGGTTTTAGAGTAAAAATACCTATAATAAAACTTAAAGAGAACAATATTTCGGAGGGAACCTCATCGGGGTTTTGTATTAATCTAAATACACAGCTAGATATTGAAGGCACAAAAACTCTTTTTTTTAATTTTTTTAAATAACCACAACTTTTTTAATAGTTAATATTTTTAAAAACGCCGATGAGGTTCCCTCCAAAATATTGTTCTCTTTAAGTTTTATTATAGGTATTTTTACTCTAAAACCACTTTTTGATGCCGATTCGTTTGTTTTCCGTGGACGTAATTTGCTATGTTACGCGTTTGTAAGACGGAGACAACACATGCGGGTGTGGCGTCCTCTTAAGACGATTTTGTTTCATTGTAGACCTTAACAATGTTTTTAATCTTCGAAGTGCTGAAGCCTGAAGAAGATCATTCCGAAGTACAAACTACAAGATGATACCAGAACAGTCATAGATTGTTGATACCTCAGTTGTAATTGAATATCTACCACGATGTAGGTTAGTGGTTACCAAAACCGTACTATCTCAAGGCGGGTTTCCACCACAGATATAAAATACTAGATAGCTAACTTGTCTAAATTAGGGTAATCGATGTTGAAGTCAGCCACCATATGCGTGTGGGTCAATGTTTACATAACTATCTTATCAATACTGTATGATAACATGATATTATTCGCACAGAATAAATTTTTTTTATAAAATATTAAAAAAATATAAAATATATATACTTCTATTGCAATTGTTTTTAATGAAAACACATAATATTATCCTTATTCAATTTTGTCATCGTCAGATATTAAAGTATTTTGACCATCAGATTGTTATCATGTCGTATTGATAAGACAATTATGTAAACATCACAGATATAAAATACCTGTAGTATTTTATATCTGTGGTTTCCACTATACACGTTTGCCGTAATGCCGTGTGGCGTGTACACGAAAAATGTTCGGCACGGTACCACACGGTATCATGGTTAATCGTGTGTTAACTTAACCTAACCAAGGAATCACGGACAAAAGAATTTGTATGAACGTACACACGAACGTGTATAGTGGAAACCCGCCTTTAAATTTTATTATCAATACAAATAATGCAATTATTGCAATTTATTTTTGTTTTCAAAATTGCAATTTTTATCACAGCTAGAATTTTATTTCAATAGTCGTTTGCTAAAATTGTTGAAACTTGGATTTAAATACACACTATACATTTAAACATTTTCAATATTCTAATGGGTGCCCAGCACCCCATAATAATTTTAAAGGGTGCTTGGGCCCCCGGGCACCCATGTACCTGGTGCCTATGCCTGTGTATCATTACAATTTGTCATGTATACTACTCGGTACTCGCCACTCGCGGGACAATTACCCCAATAGCCCAATTCCGTACCTACCAGACCAATGTCCGTCATCCGATATTATGTGATAACTATGGTGATAATAGATGAGGGGATTTCCCACATTTTTCCCTGGCACGAAAATAGCATGATTACCTAAGGTAAACATACATACATATTATTATTATTGTGTCTTGTGGACAACCCGACTATTAATTCGAAGCGTCATGTGTACCAGAATTGTTGACATTGAGCGGCGGACGCGATTGTCATATTATAAAAAACCCCGTTCAGTTATTTCATTCGTAATAAATATTATATTATATGTATTTATGAATATTTTTATGTGTTTATCGATTTCGGATATAGTTTGGTTGTATTTTATAATATTTTTTCGCGGAGCTCCGCTGAAGTAATTGACGACGATAACATAACGATGCGAGTGTTTGATCACAATATTAAAATACAATAATATAATAATTATCATACGTACCGTTCCTATAATAATAGTATATTAATTTATTGTGCACAGTAGCTGCGCTCACGATGATCCTTCACGACGGAATAATGCTTGACGATGGGTCATCGTACCAGCAAAAGATGTTCGACAGGGCAGCCGTGCTCTTACAGAAGTTCCCGTTCCGGTTCTTCAACAAAGTTTCCAAAGAGAACGCCGAACGGGCCGGCAACTCGCGCAAAATGGCGTTTTACTACTCGAAACGTTTCCCAAACATGTGTATGAGCTCGTCGTTCTACGACGACGTAATGAACATCGCCGAAATGCACGTGAACTATTATAGTGAGTATTTTAACCTATTGTTGTTATTACAATTTCAATAAGCATTATTAGGTAGGTGTTTTTTTGTTTCCTAAAACGGGCAAACGGATCTATTTTAGGTACAGGGTTTTTCAAAAGTCTTCATCTGATTTCAAAAACTCAATTATTTAAAAAAAATATTTACATTGGGTGTGTTAAAGCAGTGCCGGCGCTAGGTATTGCGGGGCCCTGGTCATAGGTAATAGCCTTTAGGTTCTCAGAGAGTAGTGAAATTTTAGCTTTTTTTTAAATCAGGATTTTAAAAAAAGTACTGTTTTTATATATAACATAGGTAAATAATTAAATTTAAATAATGCTCTGTCAATTCTTAATGAATCAAGATATTTTAATGAAACAAAAATCAACTTAAAGCTTATTTTTATCTTTGTTATTCACTTGCCCCATATATAATTTTATGTAATACTAATAGCAAAAACAATCCGATTTTGCACTTGCCCCATGAAAAGGGGCAAGTGTGACGTTTCAAAATTAAAAAAAAAAAAAATTATTCTTAGGTCAGTGATAATATAACTTTGTTGACTATAAATTCCAATTATGTATATCTACTATCATCTAGAGGTGTTACATTATGGAACAATAACAACGTTAAGTTAAAAACAAAAGAAGTATTGTCAAATTCAAAATTAACTTTTCATTTTTGTGTCACACTTACCCCCACTTTACCTTACCTACTTGTGAAACGGAGACAACACATTCGAGTGCGATTCCTCCTGATGAAACCTCGCTCAGCACAGAATTATTGGCGTAGCGTGAGTTTCAGTTAAACCTTTGAGTGGAAAATCGTAGGCTAATAAATTCATAAGGGCTGGTTATTTTATTAATTTACATTTATTTTAACAACTACATAAAATCATCAATTAAAAATAAATTAATTCATCAAAATGTTTGAATAAAATAATAAATTGTTTAATATCTAAGTACGCGACCGCTGCAGGCAGAATAATGCAATATCCGACGGTAGACCACGGTATTCGTATTAAGATGATAATTAAAAATCACGGGGCCCTTTAACAAGCGCGGAGCCCTGGACAAATGTCCCATTTGTCCTCCCCTAGCGCCGGCACTGTGTTAAAGCATAACATATTCTTAAAATAATTAAGCCTAAATAAATTTGCTTACAAATTTGCCATATCACCCCCACTGGTCACCCGGCACGGATCTGCCTATACAATATTCAAATTCCTCCCCAAACGATTACTGTAAATATTACTAGCAATGGTCTAACCAAGGGGTTGTAAGTAATTGAGATTTTATGAGAATAAGCTGTACTTATTATAAACGTACAAATTACTACAACCTCAGATAAAAGTTAATAAAGTATCTAGGTACTTGTCTTTTTACCTAATACTGAAAATATTAGAACAATCATCGGGTGCTCTTAAAGTTTATTATTAATACATTATGACATAATAATATGTTAATGCTTTCTTATACTATGTATATTTTGGAGCTACCTATCAATCAAATTAATTATTATTTATTGTATGTTAAAACTAGTAAATTCTCTATGTACTGAGAAATTACAAACACAATTTAAATTATTATAATTTATACCTAATGTAATAAATACACTAATAATTTATATCTAAATTAACAGAATCCCGATGGTTTGATTTTGGTGAACTATATTCAGAGCCATCTTTCAATGAATCTACAGTTCCATGGACTAATCGTCCAGTATTACGACCAATACATACACAAAATAATTTTGTTCATAGTGTCAATTACAATTACAATAACAATCAGAGGGATTTAACAAATAGTCATACTCTTAAAGTTCAATTACCCAATAAACTAGTCACCATTCTAGTACCAACACCTAGTTCTGTTGAATCATTTTCAGCGTCTAGTTCACCATTAGATTTTGAAGAGCCTATTACACCTATTAAAGTAATATCTAAAAATAATAACGATTTTAAAAAGTCACCTGAAGAGAATAATAATAAAATACATGTCATCGAAAATGATGATACTAAAAGTGGCAGCATTGACTCAGATAGTTCTAGGTCTGAAACTCCTATTGATGAAAAGACTGTATCATATGCAGAAATCATCAAATATTCCAAACCTACCAAACCAAAACAATCTGAAAAACCTGATTATAATCTTATTGAAGAATCTAGAAAAGAATCAATTAAATCTAATAGAATTCCACCATCTAAAAAAATATCAATTAAGCTGCCTGATGCTCCATTTCTACCAAATAACCAACATTGTGCATTTTGTAAAAACAATGGTGAAGAAGAATCAGTTTATAGAACACATTTTGTTAAAGATGAACTAGGGAATGTGAAGTGCCCATTTTTATCAAGGTACACGTGTCCACATTGTAAAGCAACTGGGACTAAAGCACACACTATTAGTAGATGTCCATTAAGTAATAAAAATAGAATTAATAAATTCAATAAACAACAGTGATAAAATAGAATTCACTGTTAACATTGTTTTAATATACATATATTTTTAAATATTACTTGTTTAATTTATTGTTTCTTTTATCTTAATAGAGCAAATTATAATTTTTAAATTTAAATAACTATACTTACTTGATATTTTTTACATTTTATTCTTTTAGATTTTGTTACAAGTATGCAACTCTAATAATTAATAATTTAGGACAATTTTGTTCGTGTTTATTCAAGTTTATAAAATGTTATATGTTTTAGATTTAAATGTTTATATCAGTTTATTAAAAGAATAAGTGAGATTATAAATAAAATAAGACTATACAAAAGCTTTGTTATTATAAAATTTCAAATATATGATTTTTTTGTTATTTTATTACTTGATTTTAATTTTATATTAGTGAAATATATAAAACAATTTTTTTAATTAAATGTCTAACAACTATTTCTCTATTTAATAACTTTTTACAAATATTGTTTATTTTTGTAATTTTGTATAACATTGGTCTATATTTTAATTAGCTATTTATTCTTCAGGTACATTTTAGTTTTAACTCTTTAAATACAAATATAACAGTACTTATATTACGATAATTCAATTTATTATAAGACACAGTACATCTTTCAAACTTTTTATAGATATTAGATACTCACCTCTCTCCGCACTATTCAATTGACAATTAGAATTTTTTTTTTTATTACTAATTAACTTTCAAGTTGATTAAAAAATTGAAGATTATACATAAGCACAGCACATATTGATATTTATTAAATTAGTGTAAATTATATATAACAATAAATATAAATATTTTAAACATATTTGATACAACAAAATTAAAGTTAACAAAGTATTTATACACTTTTTATTCAAAACAAAACAGCTTACAATTTAATATTTTTATATCGGTTTGTGCTTAATTACAAGTAAAGATATAAACATTCAATTTCATAACAATAAAAAAAAAATAATTTATAATAATATAACTGTCACAAAATGTACATACTGAAAAAAATATGTAAATATTACATTTTATTAAATAATTAAAACAGGTTATCGATTATAAAATAGAAGTTATGTTAATCGAACAGAATTTAATTTATCTGGTACTATTATCTTAGCTCTAGTTTTATTTTTCATCGCTGGTCTATGTGGAAGAGCATATCTCAATTTCTGCCAAAACCAACGATCTCCCCATCTAATATAAGTATTCATGGACAGATATGCTTGTAACTCTAAATCTAAATCATTCTCTGGTATGTCTTTATAAAGTATGACTATTATACGACTGCGGCGTTCGTTCAGAGCACGGGAATAAGCTGTCCTGAACTCTGTACGACCCCAAACACTCTGTAAATAATTTTGTGATAATACAATAATAGTTCTTCGAGATTCATCAACTGAACGAGCAATTTGATTAGGAATCCAATCGCCGACTTCCCAGTCTCTATAATGAAGACAAAGTTTAAACGGTGAGCTGCCTCCTTCCAAGCCTGGTACTAAATGCTTTTCAACTAGTTCTATGTCTATGTGAGAGAAACTAATAAATGCATCATATTTTTTATCCTGGTCGAGAGATTCTTCAGATATTGGCCATTTTATGTTATGAGAGTACAGCCATATTTTGATTTTAGTCTTGTTGTTACTATACAACATCCATAACAAACCTAAACTAAATGCTGAACTCAACACAGCTAAAAACATAGATACAGTGATGATCATGTTAGTATTTAATTCTTCTTGACATACTTCTTCCTCAGTCAGGGTTAATAACTGAATTGATGATTGATTGCACGTGATATTGGCTAAATCAAAAATCTATTTAAAAAAAAAAACAAGAATAATATACTAACTATATAATAATATCTCATAATTTTAAACTTTTAAAGAGCACCAGTAATGGTTTCACCTTAGATGAATATTTGTGAATAAAATTGATAGTATTCTTGGCATTACAATCACATATCCAGGAATTACTGTTCATTGTTAAGTTGTTTAAGTTGGGTAATATATTGGTCAAATTCGTCTCACTAATCATTGTAAGATAATTATGTTCCAAGTGTAAATCCTAAAATAAAACTTGGATTTAAAATGTATTCATAAAAATCTAAAAAGTAATAAGACCATTAAAGCTATTTTAAGAAATTGGTACATCCCCATGCATTGTCTCACCGTCCTATAAATGCATAACATAAAAAATTGTATATTCCGAATAATTTATTTAACTCTGTTATGTTTAATACCATAGTGAATTGACCTATTATCAAATGTAGAAGTAAGAATATAATCTAGAAAACCTTATACGTTATTTAAGGTTATTTTATATTTAAATTTTAATGTACAAACAATTAAGTTTTAAAATTATTAAAATGCAAAATTAAAAAATAAATAAAAAGACCTATGGGCTTCAGTGGATAATATCCTTAGTTCTAAATTACATAATAGGTCAATTGGCTCTCCTATTAAACATGAGTTAAATTAATTATTCAGAACATACAATTTGCTATGTTATGCATTTGTAAGAAGTGGAGACATGCAGTTTACTCTGGTAACCTTTATTTTATAAGTAAAATCTTGGGTTATATTATAGGTTGTGGTGTATTATAAACAATTCTGACTTCTGAGTAAACCTTAACTTACTATAGTAGGTATGTATAAAAATTTTTAAAGCTCCGTGTAACTCATAAAAATAATATTAAAGACCAGGGCTAGATACTTATGGCCTTAGAAAATTATGAAACATATGTTATAATATACTTTAGAAGAAATGCAAAATATGCTCTACAAAGTTTAGAAAAATTAAAACAATTAGGTATTGCAAATGTTTACAATCATAAATCTGTATTAAAAATACCTTTAAGTTAAACACAACTAAAACAATATCCACTTACATTAAGCATAAACCACTTTTATTAAGCTCATACACGTGCAATATTCGGTATATATTATTGGTTATATAAACTTATATTGAAAATATTAAAACCGTTTTGACATTTAATGACGGGTTTTTAATTCTTAATGATCGTTTAGGGACTGTTTTAAGAAGATGCAATACCCGCATGTGTTGACTCCATCTTTGAAATATGCAACACAGCAAATTTTACGTTCACAATAATCCAATTTACTGTTATTTTTAAAATTTTGGTGAATCGAACTGTTATAAATTGTATAGGCGAGTCATGGTGACATTATTATTTAGGGCATCTTGGAGGCTTTTATAAATTAGAAAGAAAGTTATGAGCATTTTAAAATAATACATTGTATTGATGACTTTAACTTGCTTCGAAATTCAAATATCAATAAAAGCCTCCAAAATGTCCTAGATAATAATCTTACTTTTTGATTGTATACAATGTTAATCCACTATAATTTTAAAAATAATAGAGTGAAATGGATTATTGTGAACATAAAATGTTGTATGTTGTAAGTTTAAAAAATGCATATAACCGAAATATATTTATTATAAACAATAGCAAGTTGTAAACAGGCACACAGCACAGCATTGATCGGTGAGGTGAATATACAGTGTACAGCGAATACTTCTGAATTTTTGCATGAAACAGATTCATAAATTATTTTGCTAACTGTTCATGTACCTCAAACAAATATGAAAATACCAGAAGTCCCAAGCCCTGTTAATGACTTTAGATTAATTAAAAATGTTGCATGTTGTATTAATTTTCAGATACCTATAGGCTATATTATTATAGGTAAATATAATTAACTATAAAATATAAATATAGATAAAAGTTTCTATCAAAAGTAAGGTCACAGGAAAATTGTACAGAACTCAATTACAAGAAAAATAATAACTGTAAAAACTATGTACTGGTTGAAATTAAATCCTTTTCACTCATAATCTAAAACAGTATAAATGTAAATTAATTGTTTAATATAAAACTAGTTTCATCAACTCACCGTAAGATTTTTAGGTAACTGCGTTATGTTAATGGTATTTAAATTATTATAACCAATATTTAACTTCTTGATGTTTAAATTTTCATAGTTTGGTAACTCGGTGATGGAATTATTACTTAAGTTCAGTTCTGTATAATTAATATTTCTACCTGAAATTATTACTTTCGGTGCCAATATTAAATTTCTATTTGAACAATTCATCAGGGCAGATTTGTCATGAGGACGGTAAGTACACTCACATTCAAAACAGTCGGTCTTGTCTACATCCTCAAAAATGTTCCAGTCACATGTTAAACTTTCGATATTCACATTTGAAAATTCTGTACCCAAACCATCATTGCAAATCAATTTTTGTTCAATTTGTAAGTACTTGTATACTATTTTTGGCATTTGGTTATGTAAAAATCTTGCATACTCATAATTACGACAATCACAGATGAATTTATCACTAGAAAGATTTATTTGTCTGTTATTCCAGAAATTGTATGGTGGAGATTGTGCTTTAGCAAATATTTCTAAATTTGACAAATCAATTACTTCTAATGGATTATTGTTAAGATTAGTTTTTACAATTTCATTTATATACTGTATATCTTGTATTCTGAGTACAGTGAAGTTATTACTTGATAGATTAATATTAATTAACTTAATCAAATTTAGCCAACCAGGATCAATACAATTTATGAAATTGTTTGATAAATCAATAGTTTCAACTTGATCCAAATAATAAAATGAGAATAAATTATTTGAGGTCAAGTTACTTATTTTATTATAAGCCAATTTTAATGTTTTTAATTTCGGGACATTTAATGCTTCCCGATTAATATTTGTTATCTTATTTCTTTCAAAATTGAGGTACTTCAAGTTTCCTAAGTGCCTTAAACTGTATTTATTAATTTGGATTATTAAATTATTGGATAAATCTAAGGTTTCTAGATTTATTAATGGTCTCAGTAATTCATCATTGATATTTTCAATTTGATTTTTAGATAAATCCAACAATTTTAATTTCCTAGCATCCCGAAAAAACATCACTGGTAGTCCATTCAAACGATTTGAAGCTAATGATAAATTTATAATATTTTGTGAATTCCAAATCATATTTTCGGGTACCTTTTCTATGTTTAAAGACGTGAGATAAACATTAAGTAATCTGTCTAAATTTGTTAAAAATCTTTGAGGTATAGTGGTAAAGTTACCATAGCTGAATCTGATTGACACTAAAAAAGTGTTTTTAAATGTTTGGTCAGGCATTGTTACTAAAATATTTTTGTTTAATGATATATTAAGAAGTTGGTTAAGGCGTCCAACAGTTAAAGAAGTAATTCTATTGTTGGCTACATCCAAATTATTCAAACTCTGAGAATTTAGATCCAAAGATGTTAAATAATTTGTGTCCAAATTCAAACTTTTCAATGGAATACTATAAAATAGATCACTATTTATTTTGGTTATCTTATTATCTCCTAAATCTAATATTTGTAAAAGAGTAAGTGGTTTGAACACATCCGCAGGTATATCTTCTATGTAGTTTTCTCTAAGATATAATTTTGTTAAACGAGGTGTTCCTTCAAACGATTCATTGGTTAATATTAATTTGGTAAGTGTAATATCTAACGTCTCCACGCTGTCCAAATTTGACAAGTAAGTATTTTCTAGACTACCATTGAGTTTCATGGCAACTAGTTTCAAACTTTGAATCTTATTAATGCCAAGTGTTGAGACGGTTTGATTAATTCCTGTATCGGATAATAGGCATTTTGCGTAATGTAATTTATTAATATCAATTTGACCAAAATTCTGTTCCCATTGTGTTTGATCTGAATTACATTCAATTTTCATTATGGATTCCATCAAATTTAATTCCAAAGTTGACAACCCTGCACATTCCACTTCTATATCGTCACCATAAAGATCATGCTTACATGAGCATTTATCAATATTTGTTATATTTGTGCACGTCAATTTTGATAATACTTGACCAAGAAGTACTTGGAGTATAATTATGTGCATTAACCAGTTCATTCTGAAAAAAATAAACATTTTTGCTTTAAAATTATAATTAAAATTCTAGATGAATATTGCGAATTTGTAACTAACAAATTAATATGAATTTAAATCATCCAAATTATAAATATCTTATGAAGTTTAAAAAAAAAAATCTAATTCACATTGATATATTTTTTAATCAGGATTATTGATTATTTGTAATGATTAAGTACAATATACGATTCAGTATGCTATAATAAGTGAGTACACCATTCAGTTTCAATTATATATAAATTGTACATAAATCAAAGGTTGTTTTATTATAAATCATTTAGATAACAGAAGTTGTATATTATTATTTTCTTACCAGCACTGGTAAATAATATATTATTTTAAATATAATAGTAATTGAAAATTAGGGACAAACACCACAAAGTTGTATCGCTTTTATTATATATACAATGCTGTATATAGCCGCAAATGGTTATGTTAGAGATTTTGTTATTCTCATAGATTTTTCTTATTAACTTTAAATGGTTATTCTATAGCAGATATGTTAAACTCAAAGTAATAACTGGGCGAAATGTATTAAATAGATAACTATGCAGCACATAATAATGTATTGAAAAAAAATTGCAGCTATACCTATCATTTTTTTATTTTATTCATTACTTACAATACTATATAAATAGAATACTTCTTTAATTACAGTTTATCAGAAGATAAGACAGAAAAGTAACATGATACATGTATACTTCTCGCTAACATAGTTGTGACATATAAGAAAATTTGTACAATTATTTTTAAAATTAATTGTTCATTAATATTGCTATTTGCAGGCAAAAAATGAGCCCCGTATTTCACAAGCCTGTTCTATAGTATATATCCCTATTTACATAAACTATACATCCTAATTACAGTTACAAACATTAAAAGGTTACTTTAATATTAGGATTTAAAAAAAATCAATTTCATTATTAATAGTTTATTCAAGACTAAGTACAAAAGTAATTTTAAGGATAATCAAATTTAACATAATTGCGTATCATCAAATTCTGTGTTTTTACAACCTTGTTATCAACAAACCAGGGTTCAAAGTACTAGGTCCAACCCATTAATGGGTCGGAACTAGTTATAAAATCCACTGAAAAAACTTAACAAACTTTAAACGGCATTTTTATTACTTTTTTGGAACAAATAAAAAACAAATTTAACAAAATAAAAAAATAACAATATTAACTTTTATAAAATAGGAAGCTACATATTATTTTACTTTTAAACAGCATCTTGCTATATATTTGTATAGGTCAGGTTTGTAAGGAACTACTCTAACAAAAAAGTGTCAGGAACTGCATTCATTAGCAAATTATTAAAACCTATTAAAATTTAAAACCCATTCATTATTACCAATTCAAACCCATTCATTTTAAAAACCTGTGGATATTTTGAATCCTGCAACATACAGAAAAAAAATAAATATGACGTCCAGTGCACATAGGTACTGAATATAGGTAGAGGCATAGGCGCCAATTGGGGGGGCTTGGGGGTGCTAAGCCCCCCAAAAACCTAGGACATACAATTTTAATATGCTATATTGCAATGGTCTGCTTGCCTTTAATATATTCAGCCCCCCAAGTCAAAAGTTGAAGTTGTGCCTATGGGTAGAGGGTAGTGTTGGGAAAAATCCGTATTTACCGAAGTTCGAAAATCCGGATTCATGAAATTCAAAATCCGTAATCCGGATTCAGATAAAAATCTGGATTTCGGAATTCAAATCCGGATTTCGGATTTTGAAACATTGAATTAATATTTTTTTATGGATTCCTTATATTAAAGCCTTGATAAATACAGATTTTTTTTTTTGTAATAAATTAATATATTTATAGGAAAACTTTTAAAGCAAAAATATAACAACAACAATCATCAATATTGTAATAACGTGTAGATATTACAACCTAAACTCAATTTATACATGAAATTAGTAACAACATTTATAAGTATCAGAATAATTTATCCAAAAATACACAATAAATAATACCTAAATATACTTTGTTTAACTAACAGAAAAGTAAAAGAAATACCTAATGAAAATATATAGGTACTTAATTACTTCTATGGTTATAATAATAATATTTTAAATGATATAAAATAATAATAAGTTGTTAATTATGCCTTGTTTTTCAAAAATACCAATGCTGACAAATGATACGGCGTCATTCGGTTAGGTTAGGTTATCGCAAAAGTCAAAGTGGAAGTATACTATCAAAGTCTACAATCTTAAGTTACTACCAAGTGGATTTTCCTTTTAACCGATAGGCGATAATAGATAGATACTTATTATACTTATAGTTAAATATACATTTAATATTTTCAATATAAAATTATAAACCAACTGTACATATCAGATATTTTATTTTCATTTTTTTATTTTCTATAATGCAACAGTTGAACCAAATTTACAAATGTATAGTGTATACTGGGTAGTGAATATTTACTATTTAGTATTATTCATTTCAGTTGTACTTATCCTACAGAATAATTCAAGCTAGGGCTGTATCATATAGACATTTTTTATTTTTTAATAACTAAAACTTAATACTGTTCACAAAGTGAAGTGCAAAAATATGTATCTGTTTTACAATTTTAAAGTTCAAATAATTTTAGATTCTGAGTGGAACGATGAATGTTTTTTATTTAAAATAGAAAATGTTTGTTTTTTATATTAGAAATGATAACGAAACATTTTTATTTTCTGCTTTAGAATACAGAAATCCACAATGTGAAACCCAAATATTCGGATTTTCGGAGAATCCAGATTTATTTCACACCACTAGTAGAGGGCATAGTATAGTAATTAGTAAGAAGTACATGAAATTTAAATATATTTTATAAATTACAATAAGAGTTATAATATATATTTACCTATAGTTCATTTTTGTAAATAATTTTATATTATCTACCTATTGTTAGAATACCAAAAAAAATACATAATTTTACACAAATCAATGATCAATTTGCACCACCCTGAAATAAATTATCTAAAAAGAAAACTATACACATAAAAATAATCTTGGGGAAGGGAGGAAGGAAGTTACCCCTGACATTTTATAGTGGGAGTAAGTTACTGTTTTTCTCTCCTGTATTAAGTTTTAATTCATTGGATACAATTTTTTTTTTTGTGTAAGCTTTATGTAATTACTGATTTGTGATTAAATTATTTATATTGTAATAGGGACTCTTTTGGTCATTACAATAAGGATAAATAGGTATCTAGTATCTACCTATCTAGTTCTTATTTGATATATTTTCACCAATATTTAACAATTCTATAAAATTTCAAGGACTGCTAAAATAGACGGTAGGTACCTATAGGCTATAATATAATGAATTAACATGTATAAACTATAAATATATTATTGTAAAATTATTTGAAAATGAAGGAGGGTGTAAACAAATTAAAAAATTAAAATATACTATTTCCCCACCCCCCCAAAAATTTAGTCTACGTTAACTAAATTCACATTTTACAAGAAGAAAAATCTCGACAAAATTATAACTATTGTGTGGTTGCGACTTGCGGACGTCCCTCGCGCGCGCGTCTGCACGAGGGCCTCCAGAAACCCGCTACAACAAGAAATAATTTAGTGATTGCTAATTAACATATTAGGTAATAGCTGATATCAACACAATAATCACAGGTAAATCGTTGGGAAAACTTACTTGAGCAGGCTGTGGTTCGCAATGCGGCATTTGCAGTGCTTCAACGAACTTTTTGTGGGCATCGCCGTCGATGGTACGACTGTGGTGCACTCATCCCTAAGGGCTAAGACCACTGAGGAGCTTCCGGCGCGAATAAGATGATCCTCCGACTAGACCTGCCTAGTTCTGGGGACAATGAGATGAGCGGCGGCCGAAGCAAAGACGTCATCTGTCCGTTTTACACCGCACAGACGTCGTAAATCGTAATATCACAGCCTTAAGGTTGATGTAAGTTATAAATGCGACGTATGTCGTCGAAGAGACCGAAAACTGGAAGGATCGGACGCTCGTTAGTCAGACAACTGCGAACGATCAACGAAACACAATACGACGACGCGGCTTGGTAGATATCGGTATTCGGGAGACTATTATTTATCGATTAGCGACCATAAGAATTAAGTTAAATAGCGAAGTCAAATTGTCGTTGTGACTCGCAGGTATTCACACAATACTGGCGATATTATGTCAGATTTTACCGTCGGGACGACGCGATTTTACACGATCCGTGTGCGGCACTATTCCGTGCACGACACTACTCTACAGGTACGCGTGCGGTGTGTGCGACGAGTAGTCACTACTAGTAGTGACTACGCGTGAAATATTTCGTCAATCGTGAATCGTCGCTATTCCACTATTCCGCGCGTATAGGTAGGACGTAGGTAGGTAATATAATATTATTCAGTCGTCACTCGTCGCCGTCGTCAGTAAGTTGTAGTGGTGGAAATTTAAAAACCGAGTACGCGAGGCCTTTCGCGCGCGCTGCCGCGAATCTGCGATGGAGCGATCCCCTCTGAAGCACAACCGGTTTCGACCGTAAATAAAACAGCGCCAGGCGATAGTTATTAGTTGTAGACTTGTAGTAAATAGTAATGTAGTCACAACAAGCGTCCCGTGCTCGTATAATGGTCGTATCGCGGTGTGCGATCGTAAGATTGCAACAATATTATAATATTATTATTATTATTATTATTGCACGCGCGATTACGCCACCGAGCGAGAACGTGGTGGACCGTCCAGACACACGACCGCAAATACAAAATGTGAATTCGTAATTCGTATAATGGCGATGAAAATATACAACATTTATCGCGTCCGGTGCAGTGGGAGAAAGCCAAACGCTCGCAATCTGCGAGTAAAATGCTTTCCGCCGTCGGTCGTTTTTGCAATGTTTATTCGATAAGAAACTATATTATTGTGTAATGTGTATAATATGATACTAAATTTTAGTACTGTCCCGGTACACGTCTCAATAACATGCATAATTTATTATTATAATATTATAATAATATGTGATATATTGATATCATTATTTATTATAATTTATGACTTATGAGTGTCGGCCGACGATTTTAGGTCACAACCAATAACTATAAGATACAACGTACAAAATGATACATAATATTAAAATACATATTATAAATTGGCTTAATTTTTTTCCTGGGAATAATATACATTTTATTAATTATGTATGCGCTCCGCATTGCAACATTTATTTTATTGGCGACAAATGGCAATATTCCCAAATACCGCCACTCGGTCGCGAACCATTATCTAACCCCCAATTCTCCGTGTTCTAGCTGTCCTCTAACATTTATATAATATAATATTTACCTAATCGTACAAACTTACGATTTTATACGACTATTCGGGATCGCTCCATGCCTGCATTGGCCTCGCTTTCAGAATTCTCGAAATTATAAAAATAATAAAGCTTTCAATCAACCCATGGGCTGAGGCGTATACAAGGGGGGCGTGGGAGTCAGGGGGGGGAAGAACCCCCAATGGCTTTTTATTACATTCGTAAAAAGTTTCAAGAGCGTGAGGGATTTCCCAATTTTCACATCCCATTTAGTCATGTCGTTTTTTTTTTTTTTGATCCCTCCCCTTTCAGAAATCATGTCTATGCCACTGTATGGGGGATCCACATGGTCTTATACTAGTATTATCCTATAATAATAGTGTAATATAGTGCCGTACATACAAGCCGGGGCGGATCTAGGAGAGGGTTCAGGAGGTCAGCTGACCCAATAGTTTTCACAAGCGCCGGGAATAAACACATACAAATTAAGGAATAACGGAAATTTTTACTCAAAATCTGTTTTCCAAAAAATCGATTTTGGTTTTTGGTGTAACTCTAAAACAAATGAACGTAAATACATGAAATTTTCCCTGGTTGCTTATATTTGCATTTTCTATACACGATAAAATTTTTAAAATATTATGATTTGTTTTGAACTGTTTAGAGACATTTTCATTTTCCATATTTTTTTTAGTTTTTATTCTAAAAATATCAATAAAATTTTATTTGTTAGCTTAGAAAGCTTGAAAATGTATTATAAGGCTCCTAGTATATTGTTTAAAGGCAGATGAAAAATATTAAAAATAGTTAGTCACAATTTTCTTTTATCAATAAAAAAATCTCTACCGGAAAGTTAAATTAAATTTTTATGAGCGTTTGAAATTCAAATTTTTACAACATTGGATATTCACTCGATTTCTCATGTAACGATTTCCTTATTTTTTTGTAATTCAAAAACAAATAACTGTAGATAAATGAAAATTTCACTGAATGTTCATATTAGAATTTCCTATACAATGTACAATTTTGAAAATAATTGTTTTTCTTATACAATGATATTATATATAATTATAAATTCAAATTTAATACCAACCATTACAGCGACCCCCACTTGTAAGTTGTAACCTAATGTACAGCAGGTTAGGTATACAGCAAAAATATTTAGACTCTTTTTGAGCTGTTTACGGACATTTTCAGTTTTCAATTTTTTTATATTTTTTTTTCTATAAATATCAATAAAGTTTTATCTGTAAAAATTTAATATAAGGCTCCTGATATATTGTTACAATATCAGTTGAAAAATATTAAAAATACATAGGCTGCACAATTTTTTTTATAAGCATTTAAAGATCGAATTTTGACAAAATTTATAAAATTTAAAATTGAATTATTATTTTGTAGTTAAAAATGTATAAAATGTTCAACTTTTATATCTAAGGATTGAAAATTTAAAACATGATTTCACCATTGTAGTTAATTCAGCTGTTACCAAAAAATCTAAAAAATACATAAGCACAGTTTATTTTTATAGTCATTTTAAGTTCAACTTTGGATAAAATTACATAAAAAAAAACCTAGAATTACTATTTTAGTTATTTTTTTGTGATTGTGTAATATTATTCGTGGGTACTTGAAACTTCTAAAGTACACTATTATATACCTATGGAGTATGGACTATGATAGTATCAGGGTTTATTGTTGACGTATAACGCATTATAAGTACCTAATGGATATTGGGATATGATTAATTTGGAATTTATTATAGGTAAATTTTTTTTAATACGATAGATAAGAAAATAATATGCCTTATACCTAGACTGACATACCGTCTCCGCTCAGAATCGTTTTTCTTATACAATGATATTATATGATTGAATTCAAATTTAATACTATCCATTATACAGTGACCCACTTGTAACCTACTGTACAGCGGAGCACCTTTTTTTTGTTTTATATACCTAGTACACAAGTATAGATTTCTAATTTGGTTTTAATAAGTGGCCCCTTGAAATTTCCTGACCCATAGTTTCCTAACTCTGGATCCGCCCCTGATACAAGGTGTTCACTTTGAGAGATACTACGAAAAAGTTACAGCTAGATAATCTCAGATTGAAATGTGCAGGTTTTCGAAAGGTTAGGGAGTAGTTGCCAGTTGGAGTACCAAAATATATATTTTAGACAATTTCAATTTATAACAATTTTGAAACAACTTTTTTATGACAATTTTTGTTTAAAAAGTTTTGTCTAAATACAAAATTGACAACATTTGAGGAAGTTTATAAATGTAAAAATAATCAAGCTAATTATTTGCTCTTAACACTTCTTTGTTTACGTAATTTACTCTAATTTTACTTGCGAGGTAAGATAAAAAATAATTTAAGGTAGGTACCTAATACAAATTATTGCAAAAGCAAACATATTACAATATTGTTTTGTGTTTATTTAGATATTGTTATTTAATAAGCATTAGTGTTTATATACTTACTCTTCTCTGTGTAAAAAAATCCTATCTAGACACGCGGAAGCGTGTCAAGCCAAGTTCTAGCTAACAGAACTGGCGAGCAGCACCGTGTGTAATATTACACGAACCATTTGGAGCCACTTTTGACCCCCTCGTAACTCAAAAACTATTCCACATAAACATGTCAAATTTGGCTCATATATTGAGACTAACGAGATACATATGTGCTCTAAATTTCATAAACACACTTCAAACCGTTATTTAGATATTAACGTCCGAAAATCATCATTTTTATCACTGACTTACCTATAGATCAAAATTCTAACCCAGTTCCAGATTTGGCATACAGATAGGTAGTTAGGTAAATACAAAGGAAAAAATCTGAAACTTGAAAATTTTTAATTTAAAATTTTTTAATTTTTAATTTTTAATTTTTTAACCAATTGATTTTATTATAATTTTGCAATTATTTTATGTATTATGTTTAATTTTTCAATTTATTAATGAATTGCCTCTAATTTAATGTAATGTTGACTTAAATTACCTTTCCCGTATCGCCGCTCCAAAAATACGACTAGCCGAATATGTGTCGATATTGTCGACCCGCGCGCAGCAACATACTTTTTTTCTATCTATATGTATGTAATTAATATTATTTTTTTTTAAATATTACATTTAAAATAATTAAATAATTATTCTTACAAATTATGAATTATCCACCCAACAGTAGAAACTACAGTCAATAAAATTATGATAATTAAAAATATACTCAAAAAGAGTTAAAATAATTGTATATTAATTTTACATATATTTTATACTCTGTATATACAACGGAAAATATTTTATAATAAATATTATTATTAATATTAGTAACTGAATTATATTATATAGTAATACACTTTATTTATAGAATACGTCATGGCTAGGTTAGGTTAGGTTATAATAATTTACATACAAAAAGTAATGATATCCCACCAAAAACA